TGGTACTGCGATAAGGTTTGTCAACTGTCGCTCTTCATAACCTGAGACATGAAAAGTGCTGATTCAGTAAATCCTATTGTATCTGCGTTCAACAGTAGGTAAAACTGATTTACATTTGTGTTTTGCTCTTAGTATATTCAAGTGTATGAAAAGCTGTATGTAGTTGACGAGGAGGGTAAGGTCCCATTTTGGCCAACTGGATATGTATCCGTCTACTTTTAAATAGTACCATGACAGTTATGTTCAAATGACGAACAGCAAACCTTTTCTCTCTCAGTATGCAAGTTTTGGATTTGTGGCGTATTTCATATGCACAAAACGTCTGAAATGGTTAAAAAAAGGCCGATTTCTTCAAAATCAAACTGCGATCAATTCCGTTAAACAAATGGTTTTTGTCATGGTTGTACTGAAAATCAGCTTGGCTCGAATGTTTACTCGTGTTCAATTATCAGAAAAAGACGTTTTCATAAAAAAACCATTAAACTCTTTTAATCACATTTTAGGCTACAAATGACAACGCTCCCAAACAAACATGAGAGAGAGGGACACCTAAGTTGGATAACGTTTGCCAATAAAATATGCTAAAAACAAACAAACTCTAATTATAATTCGTATTAACTTATTTTCAACTTCCATGATGATTTGTAAAGATTTTATTCTTTTCTTAAATTATACATACTGCTTGTGTCAAGAAAGGCAAATATTATACATTATCCAATGTCATATGTCTCCAGAATTGTAGAAGGTCAACTCAGTTTCATTAATAAAACCTTCAAACATATAATCTTTATTACTGAAGTTTTAAAAGTAACAGCGAAGGAAATAATCTTTTTTTAAAACCTGGGAGTTGTTTTTTAAGATGTTTGCGGTAAATAATAATAACGTGTGCACTTATACTGCTGTAGACTCCATACTCAAGGTGCATGCTCAAAGCGCTAACATTATTCCAACGGTCAATAGATCAGTGTGCACTCGTTTATTCTTCTCGACTTCCTGGGGAGTAGCCAGCCGAAGCTGTCCGTGAAGCGCAAAGAGTTTAACTGTCAGATTACATCTCACCTCACCAGGTACCCATTTACTGCTGGGTGAACAGAGGGAAACAAAGTCACATGCCTAAATAGATACCATATGTGCGACATGTGTTTCAGATACTCTCTACCGAACGCGGTCACCCATCCAACTACTTTCCGCCGCCGACGTTGATTCACGTCACCTGATTTATGACCTGTGCGCTGTGCGCAGTACCTCGTAATTGGTGGGATTTAAGCTCAAATATCATGTCATTTTTAGTATATCATATATGTATTTGGGGATATTTATGTTGTTTGTGATAGAACACAACCTAGTCATATATCCATATTAAAATATTTGTCTGATAGTGTAACATTGCTGTAACGATGTATAGCTGTTCTGATAAGTTACATTGCTTTAACGATGTGTCGTTACTTCTGATGATGTAACATTGTTTTAACGATGTATAGTTACTTCTGATGATGTAACATTACTTTAATGAAATATAGCTGTTCTTGGTGATATGACAGTACTTTAATTATTGATATATATTTTACTTTTGGTGATATTATAGTACTCTAATGATATATATTTAGTTACTTTTGATTATGTACCAGAACGTTCATGATATTTAGTTACTGCTTATCATGTAAAAGTACTTTAATGATATATAGTAAGTTCTGATGAGATAACATTGCTTTAACGATGTATAGTTACTTCTGATGATGTAACATTGCTTTAACAATGTATAGTTACTTCTGATAGTTTAACATTGCTTTAACGATGTATAGTAACTTCTGATAGTGTAACATTGCTTTAACGATGTATAGTTACTTCTGATGATGTAACATTGCTTTAACGATGTATAGTTACTTCTGATGAGGTAGCATTGCTTTAACGATGTATAGTTACTTCTGATGATGTAACATTGCTTTAACGATGTATAGTTACTTCTGATGAGGTAGCATTGCTTTAACGATGTATAGTTACTTCTGATGATGTAACATTGCGTTAACGATGTGTAGTTACTTCTGATAGTGTAACATTGCTTTAACGATGTATAGTTACTTCTGACAGTGTAATATTGCTTGAACGATGTATAGTTACTTCTGATAGTGTAACATTGCTTTAACGATGTATAGTTACTTCTGACAGTGTAATATTGCTTGAACGATGTATAGTTACTTCTGATAGTGTAACATTGCTTTAACTATGTATAGTTACTTCTGATGATGTAACATTGTTTAAACGATGTATAGTTACTTCTGATGATGTAACATTGCTTTAACGATGTATAGTTACTTCTGATGATGTAACATTACTTTAACGATGTATAGTTACTTCTGATAGTGTAACATTGCTTTAACGATGTATAGTTACTTCTGATTGTGTAACATTGCTTTAACCATGTATAGTTACTTCTGATGATGTAACATTGCTTTAACGATGTATAGTTACTTCTGATGATGTAACATTGCTTTAACGATGTATAGTTACTTCTGATAGTGTAACATTGCTTTAACGATGTATAGTTACTTCTGATGATGTAACATTGCTTTAACGATGTATAGTTACTTCTGATGATGTAACATTGCTTTAACGATGTATAGTTACTTCTGATGATGTAACATTGCTTTAACGATGTATAGTTACTTCTGATGATGTAACATTGCTTTAACGATGTATAGTTACTTCTGATAGTGTAACATTGCTTTAACGATGTATAGTTACTTCTGATAGTGTAACATTGCTTTAACGATGTATAGTTACTTCTGATAGTGTAACATTGCTTTAACGATGTATAGTTACTTCTGATAGTGTAACATTGCTTTAACGATGTATAGTTACTTCTGATAGTGTAACATTGCTTTAACGATGTATAGTTACTTCTGATAGTGTAACATTGCTTTAACGATGTATAGTTACTTCTGATGATGTAACATTGGTGTAACGATGTATAGTTTCTTCTGATAGTGTAACATTGCTTTAACGATGTGTAGTTACTTCTGATAGTGTAACATTGCTTTAACGATGTATAGTTACTTCTGATAGTGTAACATTGCTTTAACGATGTATAGTTACTTCTGATAGTGTCACATTGCTTTAACGATGTATAGTTACTTCTGATAGTGTCACATTGCTTTAACGATGTATAGTTACTTCTGATAGTGTAACATTGCTTTAACGATGTGTAGTTACTTCTGATAGTGTAACATTGCTTTAACAATGTGTAGTTACTTCTGATAGTGTAACATTGCTTTAACGATGTATGGTTACTTCTGATAGTGTAACATTGTTTTAACGATGTTTAGTTACGTCTGATGATGTAACATTACTTTAATGAAATATAGCTGTTCTTGGTGATATGACAGTACTTTAATTATTGATATATATTTACTTTTGGTGATATTATAGTACTCTAATGATATATATTTAGTTACTTTTGATTATGTACCAGAACGTTCATGATATTTAGTTACTGCTTATCATGTAAAAGTACTTTAATGATATATTGTTAGTTCTGATGAGGTAGCATTATTTCAGTTATAAATACTTATTACTGGTGATGTAACTGTACTTTAATTAATGATATTTAGTTTCCCCAGGTGATGTAACATTATGTTTTGTGATGTGACATTGCCGCGATGAACTATAGGTACCTCTCATAATATATCAGATTATTCGTGGTGTAGCCGTATTTTACATGGTAAATATGTATTTTATATTTGTCAGGTAATCCCTGTATATCATTATATTTGAGGAGATTAACCAAGTATACTTTAGATATTCTGTACCTCGAATCGTTATTTGCATGGCAGATTGATAATATCAAGATTATAGATTCAACATATCGGTCCTTTTGAGACCAATGGTGTTCACCCCAAGTTGCTTTGTTATTCTGGGGTTGTCTGTGACTGGGCTGCTGTCTACCTAAACGTTTTCGCGTAGGTTGCGTCTTGACGAAACAAAACGTAGCATTCACTGGTCTTCGGTATCGCGTAAACAACGTATAGAAAACTACGTGAAGCCTGTGACGATGTAGAATCGTTCTCGCTCAAACAGCAAAGTAGTTTGTAATTATTATTATAAACCTGCGAGAGGTGAAGATATGTCTCCGTGTTTGTTTCACTTTGTGACGTTACTCATGCGCACCTATGGCACCTATGACCATATATGGTACATATTGGTAGGCACTTTGGGCCGCCGCTTGTTAGCTACATCCGGTAAGATTGCTGCGCGCGATTGTCCGCAGATGGCCGTAATGTTAATCTCTGACAAGCCAAAGTAAGAATTTCAGAGGTCAACAAAGTATCATTCCTGCAGCGTAGATATAAGAAGTATGGGCAGATTTTTAATTATTAGACTGGAATTTGAGATACGTTTTAATAACATGTAAATTAATTCCAACATCTTTTACTGACGAGAGACAGTTGATCATGTTCCCATGTCTGTTGTCTAGCGTTGTAATTAAAGACATCTGTGAAATTGAGACTTAAAAGTCATGAGTTACTTGTTTGACATATATCATAATATTGGAGTTTGTAGACAAAGGGGTTCTGACTTGAATCAATAGTGCTGGGACTGTCACTTAACCCGAGTCGGTCCCCCTTTAAGAACATGACGAAGACGTAAGTGCTCCAGAAAAAATGGAAACAGCATATACGGAACCTGATATGTTGAAACCGAATTTGTTACCGAAAGTACCCCAGGAAGTAATGGGTAAACCATCCAAAAATATGATTGGATAGTACATCATTTCATATTGTAGAGTAATACTGTGTTCAACCGTGGTGATTCCGGAATGTAATAAAGATCCCAAGTCGTCTAAAGTGATCGGGTGGCCAGGATCGGTGACTTGGTTGATTGGTTGTCATCGTATTCCTGTTGGAATAGAAGCTTGGTCCAGACCCGATAGTTAGTGTTTACAAACAGCCGTTATATAGCTGGAATAGTGCGGCATTTAACAATAACTAAACAATCAAACATACTTTGGTTACTTGAGAATTTGACGACGTTTTGCTGTCCTTCCGCCACCTGCTTCTTTTTCCTTCTTTTTTTAGTTGTCTTCCCCTCCTGAAACAAAACCCGGATATTTTAGTAAAGAATGTAGAAGAAACAACCACAGTCACAATCGTTATTCGTTTTTATATTTTCCTCATTTTTGCAGAGTTGCCTCCCTTAGTCGTACCAGGATTCGTTGGTCGTTGGTTCTAAAAACAAATGGCTTGTCAGCGCAATCTCCCTGTCGGATGGTTTCATGTCTCTTGGTTTTACACCCGCATCTTTCTGCCACGCAGTGATCTGACCGCGATACTGCTCATAGAGGTGTTGAACAAAACTGACTCAAATTTATAGATTTATCACTTTCAGTTGTACCCATGGCTATGATACACACCTGGTCACTGACGTTAACCATGTCACTCCTGAGCGTACAAGTACGAATTGATATGTTGCTTACTGGTCTGGATCCCGATTTTACTTCGCGGAAAGCGTCTGCATTGATATTGCTGTGATGCATCAGTGACACAGTTCGGCAAATGGTATTGTGATACCAGATTCGATTGGTCGACAGTACTTATGTCATCGATAAAAAAAATGGGAAGAAGAGAGGAGAGACGGGAAGAGACTGACGAGGGAATGTAGAGCAAAGGGTTATAAAAAGGGAAGTTGAAAAAGACAGGGAAGGAAGAGTTACGAGCGACATGAAGGGTTAACTGAGAAAGAGAGGAGTCTAGTAGGACTTGGAAGTGGCCGGGGAGAGAGTAGAGAATAATTGGGGAGGGGGAAAATGGTGTGTGTGTGTGTGTGTGTGTGTGTGTGTGTGTGTGTGTGTGTGTGTGTGTGTGTGCGTGGTGGGAGGGTGGGGGGGCAGTTAAGAGGAAGAGTGACGGTATAGAAGATAGGTTGGGGATGGAGAAAGTTAAGTTGGGAAGAGACACAGAGATGGAAGAAACTGATACGGTTTAGGAGAGAGGGTTGGGGATGGAGAAAGTTCGGGAAGAGGAAGAAGAGACGGAAGGGATTTATATGGTTTAAATGGAGGAGAATGGAGAAGAGATGGAAGGAGGGACGACAACAAGAAGCGCTTATTTGGTCATATCACGAGTTATCTCGAATTATAACGTCACGGATATAATGTCATGTGTTGTCTTCAACAGCTATTTTCACGGGTTATCCTGAATAGGTATATCACCGGTTACCCTATTGCACACTTTACAAATATGTCAGTTTCAATTTCTTCTGTGTCTGGGCTGCATTTACTGATTTACCAACATGAACGATTTAGATTCATGTTAAGATAAACGCATAAAGCTTCAGACTGACACAGCACCTATCCACAAGACTGTATGACAAGAGGGAAGACTGGAACTTCCAGGGGTCACCTTTGCTTGTTCGGTGAGCAGGTTCAGCCTTTGGTGTCTTCATCTCACAACATTTCAGGTACAATCGATTATGCTCTTTCCACGAAGATTTCTGAGATTCTCTAAAAAGGTGTATGATAGACATGTGGAGGACATTTCTAAATTTGACGCATCAGTGACCATAGAACACCGGTAGGGCAGGTTACGCACACCTGGTATCATCGCTGTTTGATAGTGATTCCTAAACACATGCTTATGATATAGTAGTGGGTTTCACCAACGTCTTCAACGTCTATGACCTGCACCACCACGGACTCTCCTCCCACATCCAGCTGCCCCGCTTTGGTATAACCGCCATACTGTACAGAACGACAAGAAACACAACTGACCCACTCGCTTATAAATACGGCCTTTCAATAAGTTCATCATGCTTAACGTAGTACGCATGCCAGATCGTTGCGTAGTACGTAAACGTTGAACATGTAAGGAAAGAGTAACCATTTTACTGATGAACCTACCTGTATATAAATGCCCACAGGTTTACAGTATACACATCACTGCTTCCTTAAAGTGTCTGAATGTAAACAGTTCAGACTTTATATATATATATATATATATATATATATATATATATATATATATATATATATATATATATATATATATATATATATATATATATATATATATATATTATTTTACGCCGCTGTTAGACCGTGCGGCGTTCCTATGCAACAGCAAGATGTCATGTTACGAGATGCTATGATCAAGTCTGAACTGTTTACATTGTGATACGACATGATATCACGTGATACCACTTATAATTAATGTCCGTTCTGAGCTATCGATGTGATTGAAAGTTAAGATTCCTACAGGTGCAGTTCTGAGATTTGATGTCCATGTACATTCAAGACGTCAACGCCTGATAATAATCAGTCTCGATTATCAGCCGAGACAGATTCCACTGGGGATAAAAGGGAAAATAGTAATAACAATTATATGAATTGATCAACGCAAATCAGTAATGACACCAGGTGTTCGCGAGAAATGAACGCAAGCCCTACTTTACCGGTAGCATTCGCAACTCAACACGGTTTTTTTAAATAAAAAAGTAAAGTGTTTTTTGCCTCACACCGCACCCAGCAATACACCTACCATACGACGGAGGCCTGTAAAAACCGAGTCTGGACCAGACAATCTGGTGATCAGAATCATATATCATTGATATAGTTCTGAACTGCATTTCAGCAGAATAAGTGGAAATTAAGTTACGAAATGTCGTCAATTGTAGAAGCGGAAAATCCAAACCCAACTAATACTGCAACCTGAAGTGCTGTGAGCATAGGTGTTAGATTTCCGAGGGTAATGCATTTCTATATTATGTCAATACATGTGCCATCGGTGGTCTGAAATATTGGACAAAGGAGTCTGAGGTGAGGTGAGGTTAAATGGGGTTAATGTCGCGTCCAAGATTTATGCACTAGTAGCGACGTGCACGCAATGGTGTATGCTGCTTGTACTTGTCGGACGAATGCCGGGGTTATATAGTGCTTGCCCAATGTGTGTTTTTGTGTGTATGTGTGTCTGTGAGTGCGAGTGTGTGTGTGAGTGTGTGTATGCGTGTGAGTGTGTGTATGTGAGTGTGTGTGTGAGTGTGTGTATGCGTGTGAGTGTGTCTGTGAGTGTGAGTGTGTGTGTGTGTGTGTGAGTGTGTGTATGCGTGTGAGTGTGTGTATTCGTGTGAGTGTGTGTATGGCAGTGTTTGTGTGTGTGTGTGTGTACGCGTGTGTGTATGTTCGTGTGTGTTAGATATAGCATCTTAATAATCACGATATGTATCTGTAGCGGTGACATATAAATCGTAGTATTTGGGATATTTATCTAAATCTGCTGTATTTGGAAAATCGTAGCAATCATATGGGTCACTAACTGCTTTAGATGTCTTCATAGTAATCATATTTGTTCTAAATCTGCTTTATATATATTTTCGGTATATACAGCATCGTAATAGTCACAACATTAGTCTACAGGTGCGGTATATACACCATCGTTATAGTCGCAACATTAGTCTATAGGTGCGGCATATACAGCATCGTAAGAGTCACAACATTAGTCTATAGGTGCGGTATATATAGCATCGTAATAGTCACAACATTAGTCTATAGGTGCGGTATATATAGCATCGTAATAGGCACAACATTAGTCTATAGGTGCGGTATATACAGCATCGTAATAGTCACAACATTAGTCTATAGGTGCGGTATATACATCATCGTAATAGTCACAACATTAGTCTATAGGTGCGGTATATATACCATCGTTATAGTCACAACATTAGTCTTACAGGTGCGGTATACACAGCATCGTGATAGTCACAACATTAGTCTATAGGTGCGGTATATACAGCATCGTAATAGTCACAACATTAGTCTACAGGTGCGGTATATACAGCATCGTAATAGTCACAACATTAGTCTATAGTTGCGGTATATACAGCATCGTAATAGGCACAACTTTAGCCTATAGGTGCGGTATATACAGCATCGTAATAGTCACCACATGAGTCTACAGGTGCGGTATATACAGCATCGTAATAGTCACAACATTAGTCTATAGTTGCGGTATATACAGCATCGTAATAGTCACAACATTAGTCTACAGGTGCGGTATATATAGCATCGTAATAGTCACAACATTAGTCTATAGGTGCGGTATATACAGCATCGTAATAGTCACCACATGAGTCTATAGGTGCGCTATATATAGCATCGTAATAGTCACCACATGAGTCTATAGGTGCGGTATATACAGCATCGTAATAGTCACAACATTAGTCTATAGGTGCGCTATATATAGCATCGTAATAGTCACCACATGAGTCTATAGGTGCGGTATATACAGCATCGTAATAGTCACAACATTAGTCTATAGGTGCGGTATATACAGCATCGTAATAGTCACAACATTAGTCTATAGGTGCGGTATATACAGCATCGTAATAGTCACAACTTTAGTCTATATTTGCGGTCTATACAGCATCGTAATAGTCACAACATTAGTCTACAGGTGCGGTATATACAGCATCGTAATAGTCACAACATTAGTCTATAGGTGCGGTATATATAGCATCGTAATAGTCACAACATTAGTCTATAGGTGCGGTATATATAGCATCGTTATAGTCGCAACATTAGTCTATAGGTGCGGTATATACAGCATCGTAATAGTCATAACATTAGCCTATAGTTGCGGTATATACAACATCGTAATAGTCACAACATTAGTCTATAGGTGCGGTATATATAGCATCGTAATAGGCACATCATTAGTCTATAGGTGCGGTATATATAGCATCGTAATAGTCACAACATTAGTCTATAGGTGCGGTATATATAGCATCGTAATAGGCACATCATTAGTCTATAGGTGCGGTATATACAACATCGTAATAGTCACAACATTAGTCTATAGGTGCGGTATATATAGCATCGTAATAGGCACATCATTAGTCTATAGGTGCGGTATATATAGCATCGTAATAGTCACAACATTAGTCTATAGGTGCTGTATATACAGCATCGTAATAGTCACAACATTAGTCTATAGGTGCGGTATATACATCATCGTAATAGTCACAACATTAGTCTACAGGTGCGGTATATATAGCATCGTAATAGTCACAACATTAGTCTATAGGTGCGGTATATATAG